CCATAGCTTGTTTACCAAAATTTTGGGTATTTTCTTTCCTACAGTCTTTCCACATATGTCCCAATTTGCCACAATTATAACATTTACGTTTATTTTGCTTTAACTCAGTGCTTAAAGTAGCAGCCATCAATTTAGTTTTGTACACTTTAGCACCGATATTCATACATGTCTTCATGGTTTTGTGGGCCTGGGACTGTGGCTGCCTCCCATTTCCCTGAATCTCACCCTGTACAGGCTGATTACTCAATTTAGGACGACTTAGAGGCAATAGAGGTGTTCCATTCTTGTGGAATTTAGACTTACAAGCTTTTTGCCAATGAAATCCCTTCTCACACCGTGGACAGACAGTGTGAGGAGTATTTAAATTGGGTTTAGGAGTGTCCACATAAGTTTTTTCCTGTTTGAAATTTTGGGATGAATTTCTGGCAGGACAGCTGTGGCTGAAATGCCCTACTCCACCACAAGAATAGCAATTCTTTCCTTTTTTATTTTTTTGATTGCCTCTTATGTTCTTTAAAATCTGAGTAGCAGTTTGACCTTGAAGAGTTGCAGCAATAGTTAACCCTTGCATATAAGATGGAGTTACTTCAGCACAAGCTCGAACATAGTCTGATAAGTTTCCTGTCCTTCTCACTGGCTGAATTAAGGTCTGGCAAGTTGGAGTAGCATTCTCAAAAGCTAGCTGTTTAACTATGAGATCTGTAGCTGTATTGTTAATTACTGTCCGACTCACTGCCTCAGTGAGTCTAGCTACAAAATCTTCAAAAGGCTCCTCAGGCTTCTGCTTAACATTTACAAAACCCGAGGACTTCTGATCTGCAGATGGCAGGCGTTTCCATGCTCCTAGTGCCAGGGAAGAGATAAGCTGTAATGTCTCCTTAGGCAGAGTAAGTTGTTCTGAAACACCAAGATGAGTGCCCTGTCCTAAAAGCATGTCTAAGGTAAGAGACTTGCCACGCCTCACAGATCCATGAGACTTTACTTCTGCTTTAGCTAGTTCTTCATATTCCATCTTCCACAAAAGGAAGTTTCCTCCTGTGAGGCAAGCCTTGGCAATCTGAAACCAATCATATGGAGTTATCCACTTAGCTGCTAGTTCCTCCACCAATGTCATAGTGTATGGGGAGTTTGGCCCGTAGTCAGAGACAGCATGCTTTAATTCTTTAATAAGCTTATAAGACAACGGCTCCCATTCAGGTTCATCCCATTCATAAACAACAGGAAAACAGAAAAAATCACCTTCCTTATGTGCCTGCTGCATTGCTCCTCTAAAGCCAATCTTTGCTGGATCTGTTCTAGCTGGAAAGGGCTCACAAAGCTTAGCCGAATATCTTGGAGGCTTATCATCAACAGCAAGCGACCATCTATCACGCAACACAACTGTCTGCCCTTCTTTGCAATCCTTAACTTCTGATCTAAGTCTTTCTGGTTTTGAAAGATCTTCTTCACCTGCTAAGCCTTCCTGTTCAGTTTTAGAATAGTTTACCTTATCTTCAGGACGGAAACTATTTATAGAGCCATAAGTAGAGCCTGAGCCTCCCTTTTTACGATTAATCAAGGGAGTATGTTCTCCAGGTGGAGCAGTTGGGGAAGACGGAGCATAAGCATCTGTCCCCGTATCCAGTGTTTGTCTCAATACTGTCCAAATAGCATAGGCTGAGGAAGGCATGTCAGCCCCCTCGTGGCTGTAATACCACCTCTTTATGTCATTCCCTACTTGATCCCATGTCTGTGAATCTAAAGTTCCTTCCTCCGGGAACCAAGGACTAATTGTCCGTATAAACTGCAAAAATGCTGAAAGCTCTTTTTTACTAACATTAATGCCTCTCTTTTGTAAAGTATGCTTAATAATATCAGCGTACAAGCTTCTGTCACTTGATGCACTCTGTCCCATTTTTACTCTATAGAAACAGAGGGTACAAAACTTCTCAAGAAATGTTCTGACTATTCACCCCTCCTAACCTGACCTTCTGTCAGGGGGCCTGCAGCACCCTGGGTGAAGTCCTATCCACGCCGCAAAGAAAAAGAGAAAAGACTTACCTTCGTCGAGCCCTCACGTTGGGCGCCACTTGCCGGAGTCCAGCTCCAGCCGAGTTCGGAGCTCGGGAAGGGTGCGTGGAGTCGGCGATAAAGAAAGACACAGACACAGACATTTGGTGCATTCTCACAACCGCTCAGGAAAAAACTGTCCTTTTTATTTACTCAAAACCCTTCTCAAGCTTCTGCACAAGCAACTATTCTATTTTTTTCTTTTCAAAATTAAGGGGGCATGTACAGACATTTGATCATTCCGTCTGCACTCCAAGGCTAAGCAGGTGCTCCTAAAGATAATTTTGCAAAATACTGTATTCATATTCTTCAAAGCAAGCTATTGTTTATTCTTCAACAGTAGCCATGGAGCAACAGCCAGGACTCCAAGGCCAAGGCACATGCGATTATCTGCTAATCAGTAGTACTTTCCCACCACATTTTTACTTCTACAATTTACCCATCATTTAATGGGAAAATAGGTTATAAGGGAAAAAACCTAAAATCTAAAATAGAAACTTCAAATGTTAAATCTCCCTACAACTATAGACCCCTACAACCCCATAAACAATAAGACAATAATCAAAAGCATTTTTCTTTAATAAAAGCATCCTTAATTCCTCTAGCTAAAAATTATAAAAGCAGCTAAAACAATTACATTTTCTATGTTCCAAAAAAATTGCAAAGACAGGCTAGCCTATGAGATAACAATAACTATATTTATTGCCATAGCAGTTTCAGCTCTCACTCCCATCACTTGTATTAATATTTAGGACATATATCAAGCCCCTTCCCAGAGGGTGTGCTGTATGTCTGGGCCAGATTCTGAAGCAATAATTAGCACACAATAAGGTGTCCAAAATTGGCATGGGCTTAATTGTGCTCCTGTGTGTAAGTTGTCAAAGGCCCACTCACCAAGACATTATCAGTGACGTTAACTCTCAAGCTCACATCAGTTGCAAAAACTGTCCAACAGGGGCAAACAACAATGCCTCCAAAGAATACAGAATTCTAAGTGGGGTGCTTGAGTGTTCATGCAGCCAGGGGATGAAACAGCGTCAGGGTGGTCAGAGAGAAATGCGCCGGGCCCTGCCAAACAGCTGGAAGCTCCCCCGGGCCCTGCCAAACAGGGGAGCTGTTCTCTTCACACCTTCGTGCCATCCACACCTACTGCACGGACCCCAGCAAGGGAGCTGGATCCAAAACGGAGTAGGCAGGACTCAGACTCATGCTCCTAAGGGATGCCAGCTCACAGCAGAGGATTCATCTGTTACACCATGGTACCAGGTCCTTCTCATCTTCTTCAAAATACTCTTTTTTTTTTTTTTTTGAAAAGCAGAAATAAATGTACAGAGAGACACACATACACAGGAAACAGCTGCCATCATCCAGCCCATTTTGCAAATGCTTACCACAGCTGAGGCTGGGCCAGGGCCAAAGCTGGGATCTGGAACGCAGCTCAGGCTTCTCAGATAGAAGACCAGAACCCAGTTCTTCAGGTCATCCCAGGGCTGCATTAACCGGAAGCTGGAGTGGGGATTTGAAGCTGGATATCAAACCCTGCTGTGGGTACCTTAGCTCCTAGGTCAAACATTCACCCAGCCACTTCATTTTTGATTGGTCTTATTTATTTATACTCCACGTTGTCTGAAAGAATATTGAAGCAGGATACCTGCTGTCCTAGAGCGAGAACCTGGTTCCAGTACTGGCTACTCTGCTTTTGATCCAGCTTCCTACGGATGTGCACACTGAGAGGGTCCCTGCAGGTCACAGGAAAGTCACAGAGTTGAGTTTCTGGCTCCTAGCTTTGGCCTGACTCAGCCCTGGCTGTTGTGGGCCTTTGGGGTGCGAACAAGCTCTCTGGCTGTCTCTTTGTTTCTCTTTTAAGTAAAGCGAAAAGTACAGTAAGAGATTTCTGTAGGATTGGGAGATGAACACACATTCACGCACGCGCAGGTTATGACTTGCAGGCACTTGCCCTCATGCCAGCATCCCATCAGGGGTGATGGCTTGAGTGTCAGCTGCTCCACTTCCAACCCAGCTCCCTGCTAATGTGCCTAGGAAAGCAGCAGAAGATGAGCCAGGTGCTTGGGCCCCTGCATCCGCTTGGAAGATCCAGAAGAAGCTTCTGGCTCAGCTCCAGTAGCTGTGGCTCTTTGGGAATTGAACCAGCAGAAGGAAGAGCTCTCTGTTTCTGTCTCTCCTTCTCTCTGTGTAACTCTGCCTTTTCAAATAAAAATAAATAGATCTTTTTAAAAGAAAGAAAGCAAGCAAGAAAGAAAGAAAGAAAAAAGAACTCCCTAATCCAAAATACTTTGTTTCCTTCAAATAGCTAACCCCAATTAAATTTTATGCTGTAAGCTGGGAATTTAGTCTACTGGAAGCATCCACAAAAAATGTTCTAAACCTTTTTCCTGGCTCCACAGCCCAGTGCTGATTTCATGCATGTCTTTCGATTCTTTCTGGGAATAGGACCTCGGGCAGGAAAGGGACTGGAACTCTTCCTATTGAAGAAGAAATTCTAGGAAAATCCATCTCAATCCCTTTGAGGTTTATATTCAAGAAGGCAGTATGATTTTCACAGGGAGTAAAATCCACTTGGCAAAGTCTGAAAGGAAACGAAACTTTACTAAACACAAAATGTTTCGCAATACTTGGATGGTCTGTCAGTTTGTGTGCTTTAGATTATGCATACAACACCAAGAGTCTGTGGGGACAAGTGTGCACAGGTGAGTGTGTGTGTGTGTGTGTGTGTGTGTGTGTGTGTACCTGTGTGCGTGTGCATGTGTGTGCGACAGGCAGGTGGAGCTCGGGAGCAGTCAACAGGGCCTGCCATTACAGAGGGTCATCAGGGTAAAGGGTTTTGCCCCTCTGCTCAGCCCCCGGACCCTGCTTCCTCTGCTCCTATTAAGAAGTCGTCCCCCTCACCACTCTCTCATTTTCATTTTCCGGCAGGAAATGTAGCAGCTGCTGAGCCAGCCCTGCTTTTCGGGAAGTCAGACGACCTCTTCCCTCTGTCAGTGTTGTTCTCTCTGCCCCCAGGTGGATCCCATGGACCTGCCGACCGCTCTCTTTTGCTTGCTGCTCCTGTATCCAGGTAGGAGGTGGCGGACGGGGCTTTGGGGGTCTGTGGGTGAAGCTGATTTTCTCAGGTTGGGGTCCAGGTGTGAGTGCTTGGTATCTTTTGCTTTCCCTTTTGGTCAGTGATTTTTTTCCTTTGCCTGTGCCCACGCCTGCAGCCCTGGCACCTGCCCTTCCTTCCTGCACTCAGAATGTGAACATCACTGGGGGTACCTTCACCCTCAGCCATGGCTGGGCTCCTGGGAGCCTCCTCACCTACTCCTGCCCCCAAGGCCGTTACCCGTTCCCACCGTCGCGACTGTGCCAGAAAAACGGACAGTGGCAGACTCCGGGAAGCACGCGGTGGACCAAGGCCATCTGCAGACGTAAGGCTCCTGGCCAGCACTGCTCAGGGAACTCCAGCAGGGGCCATCCCCCACCTTGGCTTTAGGATGGGGATTAACACAATGTGTGGAGCAGGGACGGAGTGGGTGTGACCAGGCCACTTATGTGGAGGTATTTTGCAAGGTGTTTTGGAGATTGTCCATCACCTGTTGGACTTTGATGGTGATTGTGGCCACTTGGTTGCCACAGATGACTTTTGACCTACAGTTGCCCATGTAGCAGAGACCACTAAGAATGGATGCTGAATGGTCCAAGCATCTCACAGACAACTAGGGACCCCAGGGGAAGGGTGGGGGTGGCCACTGTCCGCAGGCAGTCGAGGAAAGTGGTTATTTATTAATGAATTGATGTGAATTGTGGAAATTGCTGAGATCCAACCCGTTGCCACAGACAACCACAGTACAGAAGTCACCTGGCTATTTGTGTGTTGTGGTGGCTGAGAGGCCGCTCCCAAGCATCCCAGCAGGAGGATGAGCTGCCCAGTACCCAGCTCAGGGGTTACTGCCTCACTCTGCATTCCCCCCCTCTCTCCCAGCTGTGCGCTGCCCAGCTCCTGTGTCCTTCGAGAATGGCATGTACACTCCACGGCTGGCTGCCTACCCTGTGGGCGGCAATGTGAGCTTCCAGTGTGAGGATGGCTTCACGCTGCAGGGCTCACCTGTGCGGCACTGTCGCCCCAACGGCATGTGGGATGGAGAGACAGCAGTGTGCGACAATGGGGGTGAGTGCCCTGGCTGCTGCAGCCAAGTGAGTACCCAGGGCGTGTCTGGGGGGCCTGGTGCTTGGAGCGCCACAACGAGCACCCTTGGAGGTATCGGGATTCACCTTGCCCTGGGTGGTTGGTGCGAAGCTGCAGAGCCCACACAGGCTCCACTCGCCCTGCTCTGCTTTTCAGCATACTTCAGTGCAGGGAGGATTCGCTGGGAGAGAGATAGCAAAGTGGACTGCTGTGCTAAGTACCTTGTCTCTGGAGCCAGCGTTGGATTCAACTTATTTTATTTTATTTTATTTTTTATTTTAGTTGAGGGATGAAGGCTTCCATCCACTGATTCATTCCCTAAATGCCCACAGTGGTGGGGCTGAGCCAGGCCACAGCGGGAGCCAAGCACCCAGCACAGGTCTCCCACACAGATGACTTGAGCTGTCACTGCTGCCTCCCAGAGTCTGCATAACCAAGAAGCTGGAACTGGGGATGGAGCCTGGATTTGAACCCAGATTTGGGTGTTCTAACTGCAAGGTCAAATGCCGGCTCCTTGGCCTTGACTTGGATAGTCTTTGGGGCAGGTTGTTTAGCCTCTCTATGCCTCAGTTTCGTATTGTTTTGCTTTAGTGCGTACACTGGGGCTAGGAGTGCTGACCCCTTGGGGTTGCCATGCGTGCCAAATGCACTGATTATCAGTGAGCATCTGAAGCCTCTGGCGTGGTTGTTACTGCCCCTGTGGGGGTGACAGTTTTGCTGGACAGAAACAGGAACCCCAGGATTCCCTGCGGGGCTGGGGAGCTCTGAGGTTGTAGAGCTGAGCAATCGGAGTCCACACAGTAGCAGGACTGTCTCCTCACCCAAGGCCCACCTGTTGGCCTGTGACTTGTGCTCTTCAGTCCTGGCCAAATTTTTTTCAAACACAAATGTCACTTAGTTTAAAACTGAAGTATTTATTACCCAGTTATAGCAAAGTATACAAAATTCAAGCCTTTAGCTTCGTGAGTGCTTCTAGCTTCCAAGACGGAGGCCCCCTCCTGTTCCCTCCCACCAGGCAACCTCTCTTCTGACCGCTGTCCCCACTCAGGAGCAGCTTGTCCTCCCACTTCATCTAGCTGAAAGCATAGAGCCATGCCGTTTGCCCCTGGCTTCTGTTGGCATTCCACCTTTGAGAGTGTTATCCCTGTGGCACACATACTGGCAGCTTGTTGGTTTTTGCTGCTGTGTGGTTTTTCGCCATATACAGGCGGAGCTCAATGAGCATTTCACACGTGCCTAGTGACACGGCTGTGTACCTGCCACCAATGATCTCGATGTCAGGCAAGATGCCAGACTGGCACCTGTTGGCCAAAACAGATAGTGTCACTGATGAACACTCCTGCAGCGGGCACAGCTCCAGTCACTCTGCAGCCTCTCCATCACGTGGCATTTTAGTGCTGGCTGTTTGAGGAAGTGCAAGGTGATGTCTCCTTGAAGTTTAGGAAATGCCAATATTCTTCACACAGGGGTGGGGCTCCTCAACTCACATCTTCCCTGGAGCTCTGAAACAGACACTGACCAAGTCCGTGCCTCAGAATCTAATGCTGCAGCTGTCCACCAAGGCTGCTATACATGTCGCCCTCCTTAAGGCTTTTCATCAACACCACTGGGGAAGCACAATTTGAGTGTATCCAAAGGACCCTTGGTGGCCCTGTGGTCTGAGGGTGGAGTCTGGTGGGAAGAGTGCACGGGGCTGGGTGGCCAGGATTCTTGGCGTCCTGTTCACCTCTGCCTTTCTTCCTTTGTTCACCATCAGCTGGCCACTGCCCCAACCCGGGAGTTTCAGTGGGCGCTGTGCGGACAGGCTCTCGCTTTGGCCATGGGGACAAGGTCAAATATCGCTGCTCCTCGAATTTGGTGCTGACAGGGTCTGCAGAGCGGGAGTGCCAAGGCAACGGGGTCTGGAGTGGAACAGAGCCCATCTGCCGCCGTGAGTAACCGCCCTGCCTAGCTACCCTGCCTTCCCATCCCTTCCCAGGGAGGCTGGGAGCCTACTGGGCCCAGGCTTCCAGCTGATTCCTGGGTGACTCTTCCCACCAGAACCCTACTCGTATGACTTCCCTGAGGATGTGGCCTCTGCTTTGGGCACTTCCTTGACCAATGTGTTTGGAGCCACCAATCCCACCCAGATGAAGAAGAAAGGTGAGTGTTTGAGGCAGGGCTGAGGGAGTTGGGCCTGTGTTGGAGCAGGCACGAGCGAGCCTCCCAGGGGCCAATGGAGCCTGTGGTGGGCTCAGCCACTGCAGGGGAGTCTGGGAGGCTGCACCCCTATCCCACCACCTCGTTAGGAAAGAGCTTGGGAAGGCGTGGGCCTCTGAACTTGTTCCTTTTGCATTTCTCCAGAAAATCTGGGCCGCAAAATCCAAATCCAACGCTCGGGTCACCTGAACTTGTACCTGCTTCTGGATGCTTCCCAGAGTGTGTCTGAAGAGACTTTTAACATTTTCAAAGACAGCGCCACGCACATGGTGGACAGGGTCAGGAAACCGCATACAGGCCGCCATCCACGCTTGCGGGCTCTTGCTCTGCTTCCAGTTCCCATCTTCCGAGATAGACGGGATGCACGAAGAGCAGCATTTGGAAACCATTACTTTCAGTTCCTCACTTGCTCTTGCTCACTTGCTCACTTTCATAACTGTGCTTTTTGCAATAATCTACATCAATAGATGGTTTTTCCTCCTTTTTTAAGTTAAAAATTTGTTTTTAAAATAATTATTTATTTGAAGGTGAAGTAGCAAAGAAAAAAGAAGAGATGGATAGATACAGAGAGATCTTTCATCCTTTGGTTCATTCCCCAAATGGTTGCAACAGCCAAGGCTGGCTGGACCAGGCTAAAGCCAGGGTCCCAGAACTGCGTCTGAGTCTCCCATGTGGGTGGTAGGGACCCAAGTGCTCAGGCCATCATCCACTGTGTTCCCAAGTGCATATGCAGGGAGCTGGATCAGAAGTGGAGCCACACTCTAGTAAGTGATGCCAGCATCACAAGGGGTGGTGGCCTAACCAGGCTGACACCCACAGTGTAATTCTTTAGGAGGAGGCTCCGTGTGGACCTTCTCTCCATCCATCTCCCTGTAGGTTCTCTGCTCCTTCGAGAATCCTCTGCTGGGTCTCTCACGGTCACACACCCACCACCATCCCTCATGCTGCCTCTGACTTGCCCTTTGCAGATTTTTAGCTTTGAGATCAATCTGAATGTCGCCATCATCACCTTTGCCTCCCACCCCAAAGTCATCATGTCCATCCTGCATGAGAACTCCCGGGACATGACGGAAGTGATCAGCAGTCTGGAGAATGCCAAGTATGAAGGTACGGGTGTAAGCCAGTGAAGGGAAGGGAGGATAAGTCCTGGACAAGAAACAAGGGCAGGCTTCTTGGTGACACTTGGGGGTCTGGGGCTCTGGGCTGTTGTCCTAGTCCAGGATCAGGGTGTGATAGTCTCAGCTTCCAGCACCTCGTGCCTTACACGAATGCGTGGCATGTTCTGATGCGTTGTGCTGGTCCTAAGCTCCCACCAGACACCAAAACCATGTGGTATAGCTTTCACGACTCAACACCACAGTCTCCCTGCAGCACTCACGTGCACATGGTATAAGACGACGTGGGTGGCAGGTAGAAGATGGCTAAAGCAACTGAGTCCTTTGAGAACCTCATCTTTGTCTCTTGGGACTTTAAGGCAGTCTTAGATGGGATGATGCATGAGAAGTTTCTAAGGTGGAAGGACCTGAATTTATTATTTTTTTTATTTTTAAAAGATGTGTTCATTTATTTGAAAGGCAGAGTTACAGAGATAAGGATAGCATGAGAGAGAGTGTGTGAGAAAGAGAACTGCTGATTCACTTTCTAAACGGTTGTAATAAGAGGGTTGGCCTGGCTCAAGCAGGAACCTGGAACTTCATCTGTTTTTCCATGTGAATGGCAGAGGCCCAGGTCCAGGGCAATCTTTCACTTCTTTTCCAGGCACACTAACAGAGTTGGATTGGAAGTGGACTAAGTAGGACTTGAACCAGCACCCACTTGGGATACTGGGATCACAGGCAATGGCTTAACCCACTATGCCACAGGGCCAGCCCCTGAAAAGACTTTCAGGGTTTAAACCTGTAATGATGCTGACTCTCTGGAGGGCCAAGGCCTGAGCATAGTAAACCCATTACTAAGCTGCGTTCCAGTGGTTAGGGTGCAATGATCCCTTCCCTAGGCAGCAGGCGCAAGGTTTCTGAGAGAATGCTTCCTTTTGGCATCCTCTAGATCATGAGAATGGAACCGGCACCAACATCTACAAGGCACTAGAGGCTGTCTTTAACATGATAAGTAATCAGATACAACGCCTTCACAAGGAAACAGCCTGGCAGGAAATCCGACATGCCATCATCCTTCTGACAGATGGTGGGTGCAGTGAGACTTACAGGGTGGAAGGGTGGAAGCCTGGGTTCTGCTTCTCCCTCTGCCAATTTGGGTCCCCATTTCTGATTTAAAATCAAAACACTGTTGACAGTGATGACAGTAACTACAGCGATATGCTGGTAATGATAGCTGCCTTCCCTCCCGTCCTCATGCGAGTTCTATGGAGAGCAGCTCAAGCAGGTTGTGGGAAAAGCACTTTGGGGTTTGAACCCATCCTGGGCAGCAGAGGGCTGCGCGGGGAGGCTGGGTTTCTGGCAAGAGCTGCGAGAGCCGTGGCGGGGAGCAGCAGTCTGCGGCACGTTTGGCTTCCAGTGTTTGCCTCTAGATGTTGCTCCAGTTATACGGCCTCTGTGGGACTTGGCCTTCTTGTCCATGAACCTAGGACATGCACCTATCCTGGGAGTTAAATGAGAGGAATTACCTGAGCTCCTGGCTCAGAGCCTGGAATGCAGACAACCTCAGTAGACAGTGTGTTTTGAAACCTACAGGGGCAGCTCAAGGGTTGAGTTTCCTAAGCTTCCACACTCCTCTGGTGTATCCAGGGAATCCTGCCGTTCACCCAGAAGAATGATCCTTCCTCTTCTGCGCTTTAGGCAAATCCAACATGGGTGGCTCTCCCAGGCTCGCTGTTAATAACATCATGGATCTCCTCAACATCAAGAACAACAGGAATGACTATCTGGGTGAGCCTCCTGCTTCCCACCCCATCTGTGCTGGCCCTGGATGGGGCAGTGAGGCCTCCATCTGGGGCGCTGGCCTCAAGGCTGTGGCTCAGAGGTGCATGGCTATAAGTCTGTGCCATCCTGTGGACAAGAACCAGGTGTCAAATTGCCTGTGGCTGCAACTTCTGTTTCATCTTTTATGGGCTGTGACTGGGGCAGTTTCTTTCTTTCTTTCTTTCTTTCTTTCTCTTTCTTTCTTTCTTTCTTTCTTTCTTTCTTTCTTTCTTTCTTTCTTTCTTTCTTTCTTTCTTTTTAAAGAAAATTTGTTTATTTTTACTGAAAAATCAGATTTACAGAAAGATCTTCCATCCCCTGGTTCACTCCCCAAATGGCTGCAACAGCTGGAGCTGAGGTGATCTGAAGCCAGGAGCCCAGGACTTCTTTCTGGTCTCCCATGTGGATTCAGGATCCCAAGGCTTTGGGCCATCCTCTACTGCTTTCCCAGGCCACAAGCAGGGAGCTGGGTGGGAAGTGAGGCATAAAGCAGAGCACAAATGGGATGCGGGTGCTTGCAGGTAGAGGATTAGTCAGTTGAGCCATCATGCCGGGCCCCCGGTGGGCAACTTCTTTGTCTGTTAGAGGGAGTGTTCCTGGGACCTAATTCAGGACAATGGAGAAAGAGGCTCAGAAAAACACTCGTGTAATATGTTAGCCACTGTCACCGCAGCCATCACCACCACCATCATTACCACCTGTGATGAGACCTGCGTTCCTTATTGTTTCTCTAAGCCATGCAGATAGCTCCCATGGCCTAGGCAATTTTTCCTCCAGAGCAGAGGTGGGGAAGCTTTTTCTCTGCCAAGGGCCAACAGGACATCTATAGTCTCATTCACAGCCCATACACAGTTATGCACTTCAAGGTGAGCCTGCTGCAAATGTACTGAATTTTGGACTGTACTGGAGGTTGCCTTGGAAGGGCCACACCAAATGATTTCATGGGCCTTGTATGGTCCTGGGGCCAGCTGTCCCAACAATATCTCCAGTTTAGCTTAAGCACAAATTGCACTGATCTTTGGCCAGAAGGGAATTTTGGAGCAATGCTTCCCTCACATTGTCCCCTTCCTACCTCTCAGGGATGAACTGATTCCTCTTAAACTTCAGCCCTAGGAAGGCAAAACTCAGACCCTCCACCTTCCTCCTTAGCAGAAGGCTAGGGTTAAGGGCTCAACCACACCTGACGATAAAGCAGGAGAAATCAAAGAGGCACACGGGAGCTCCCTCTGCCGCTGTTGCTGTCCGGACTGTGGCTGAAGACCTCCCTCGGCCTGAGTGTCCTGCAGAGCCTTCTGGGAATGAAATGGACCACAAATGGAGCAAGGATGGGAGAGAATGGACCCTGTGGCCCACCCCCTGGTGGGTCTGTCTTTGCCCATGGCCTATAGTGATGATTGTAAGGGGCCAAGGCCTTCCTTGGGAAGAGGTGACTTTAGGCCTTTCTTCCAGCACCTACATTTAATGATGTAAGACCGTAAGTTCTTGTTACCGATTCAGTGACTGTAGATCCCCTCGCGGGTGCCTGGAGCAAACACTGTCCTGAGTGCTGGGGCTTCAGTGCCAGCAACAACAACACAGCTGCTCGATTGCCAACTGAAGGAAGTGTTGGTTAGTTTCCCAGGGCTACTGTAACAAGTGACAGCCCTGAGAGTTGCAAAGGCAGGCGGGAATTTGCTCACAGCTGGGGTTAGGCCACAAGCAGTGGGCAAGGCCATGTTCCACCTGGGCCTCTGGGGAAGACTCCTGCCCTGCTTCTTCCAGCTCCTGGGGCTCCACGTGTTTCTAGGGCTTGTGGCAGCACAGTTTCCACCCCTGCTTCATCTACACCTCGCCTTCTTTCCTGGGTGCACACTGGTGTCACTCCGTGGTGTCCTTTCAACTGTGTGTTCAAACTCCCTTCTTCATTTTTTAAAAGCTTTATTATTTGAAAGACAGAGTTACACAGCGGGCTGGGGTGTGGAAGGGGAGAGACAGAATCATTTTTCCATTGGTTTACTCCCAAAATGGCCCCCAAAGCCTTGGCTGGGTGAAGCTGAAACCAGAAGCCTCAGATGACCCAGGTCCACCACGCCGGTGCAGGGGCCCAAGCACTTGGATCACCTTCCACTGCCTTCCCAGCTGCGTCAGCAGGGAGCCTGGTCAGAAGTGGAGCAGCCAGGACCTGAACCAACATTCACATAAGAAGCTGGTGTGTTGGCAATGGCTTAACAACACAGATCCCCAAACTAAATCCTTTTTTGTTTTTAAAGATTCATTTTTTTTTTTAATTGGAAAAGCAGATATACAGAGAGGAGGAGAGAGACAGAGAGAGAAAAATCTGTCCATTGATTCACTCCCCAAGTGACCGCAACAGCCAGCGCTAGAAGTCACAGATAGAAGCAGGAACTTCTGCTGGGTCTCCATCATGGGTGCAGGGTCCCAAGGCTTTGGGCCGTCCTCGACTGCTTTCCCAGGCCACAAGCAGGGAGCTGGATGGGAAGCGGGGCTGCCGGGATTAGAACCGGCACCCATATGGGATCCTGGTGAGTTCAAGGCAAGGACTTTAGCCACTAGGCTATTGCACTGGGCCCACCCCAGCCTTCTTTATGACTCCAGTTACTGAATGGAGGCTCGGCTTAATCCAGGATAGCCTCATTTGAACTTAACTACATCTCTAGACACCACTTTTTAAAAAAAGATTTATTCATTTTTATTGAAAAGTCAGATTTACACAGAGCAGGAGAGACAGAGAAAGATCATCCATCTGCTGGTTCACTTCCCAAGTGGCCGCAATGGCCAGAGCTGAGTTGATCCAAATCCAGGAGTCCTTAAGAGCTTTGGCTTTGGGTCATCTATAGCTTTCCCAGGCCACCAGCAAGGAGCTGGAAGGGAAGTGGAGCAGCTGGAACATGAACTGGCACCCATATGGGATCCCAGTGCATGCAAGATGATTTAGCCACTAGGCTATTGCATTGGGCCCACCATTTTTCTTGTAACATTTAAAATTTTATGTTTAATTTTGATTACATTGCTGAGAGTGATGCATACACAGGCAGACCTTTGTTTTGCATGTGAGGGTCAAGGTGTGGAGGAAGGTGGGTGAGATAAATGCTTCAGTTTTTTTTTTTCTTCTTCTGTGTTTGCAGGGGTGAGGAGGAGGTGGGGGAATGCTTTTCCTTGCTGTCACACTACACCAGCACCTGGGGCTGGGGGCAGTCATCTGATGATACCTTAGAGACCCTGATGTGGGGAAGTGTTCCAAGGGTGTTACTTGACTGGTCTTAATAGTTCTGAGGCGGTGGCTTCATTGCTGACCAGGTCTACTGCATGGTCCCCACAGACCTGGACATCTGCTGTGAAACATGACAGGGGGAGTTGATTCACCTGCTCTGCTTTCCTTCTCTTGGCTTAGATGAGCTGCTCGTCATGTCTCTCTGGGTGTGTTCTCTGTACAGTGTCTGCTCATTTCCCATGCTCCTTTCTTAACTGGTTTGTTTCTTTTGATGTTATTGTTGTTCTGGAGTTCTTTGTATATTCTGGAATTAGCCCTCTGTCTCCTGTGTAGTGTGCAAAGATCTCCCGTTCTGTTGGTTGCTTTTTTACTTTGTTGATTGTTCCCTTTGCTCTGCAGAAACTTCTTTGCTTAACGTAGTCCCATTTGTTTATTTGGGTATGTTCTCTAATTGCATGGGTATCAGGTACTAAGGAGGCCCAGTTCTGATATATGCACTCCAAGGTTGAACCGCATATCTTGTGACTTTCCCTGTGGTCTGGGTTTGGTCCCGCAGTCTCGTTGGGGAGCTCCCCGAGACACCACGCTTGGGATATGCTCACACTTGACTCTTGTGTGCACCAGCCATGTGCATACTGGTGGATATAGCTGCCTGAAGATCGTTTTTCTTAAGTAAGGTCAGATTCATAGGCATGACTGGTTAGGTTAAGGCTAGAATATATATATTTTTAGGAGAGTGTATGATTCTATCCATTGTAGGCAATCAGTAAGATAAGTTAGGAAATCATTTTGCACCAGCAGCAGGTGGGAGGTGACATAGAAAGGAGGGCACAGTGTCAGGGGCATTGAGGTTTTGGAAAGCAAGGCCTGGGGGGCTGGTTGAGCACGTGACATTGGAGCCAAGGCTTAAAAAGGTAAGAAAGTAAGTCCTGAAGAAATGGGGGGGTGGATGACCAAGGCCAGAGGTGGTGGCATCGGCGTGGGGGGAGCTTCCAGGAGGCTACATGCTGGAGGGAAGCAGAGAGCAGGTAATGGTGAAGAAATGAAGTCAGGATGGCAGCAGGAGTGAGGGAGGTGGGGCCCAGCCTGAGGGCGAGGCGGGTCTTCGTTGGGCACAGAGAGTTCCAAACTGCAGGCGCCTGTTTCCAGCGCCCAAGACTCCCAAGCCACAGGGGTCTGGTGACTTCCCTCCTCCCCATCAGACATCTATGGCATTGGTGTTGGCAAGCTGGATGTGGACTGGAAAGAGCTGAATGAGCTGGCCTCCAAGAAGGATGGGGAGAGGCACGCCTTCATCCTGCAGGATGCCAGGGCTCTGCAGCAGGTCTTTGAGCACATGCTGGGTGAGTGAGCTATGTCCCGCCTGGATGTGGGAGCCTGGAGGGGAGGGGGATAGATCGCTGGTGCCTTAGGACGGGAACCTGAACGTGATGGCTCTCCGTTTGTCCTGTCCTCATACCCACAGATGTCTCCAAGCTCACAGACACGATCTGCGGGGTGGGGAATATGTCAGCCAATGCCTCCAATCAGGAGAGGACACCCTGGCACGTCACCTTTAAGGTACCAGGCATGCAGGGGAGGAGCTGGCCCCCAGAAGTGAAAGTCTCTGAACATCATCTGCTTCCTTGCAGCCCAGGGCCCAGCAAACCTGCCGAGGGGCCCTTGTTTCCGACCAGTGGGTCCTTACAGCAGCTCACTGCCTCATCAATGCCGAGGACCGCTCCCTGTGGAGGGTCAGTGTGGGTAAGGCAGGAATCCCTACCATCTGCCCCCAGCCTCTTGTTTCAGGAGCTCTGGCCCAGCCTAATTGGACACATTGTTCCCAGGGGATCCCAACTCCCAGCAAGGCAAAGAATTCCAGATTGAGCAGGTGCACATTCCCTCAGGGTTCAATGTCCATGCAAAGAAGAGCCAGGGCATCCAGGAGTTTTATGGTGATGATATTGCCCTGCTGAAGCTGGCCCAGAAAGTGAAGATGTCCACCCATGCCAGGTGTCTGAGACTGGGAAGGGAGGCCAGCCTGCAGGGCAGCTGTAAGCAGGCACTGAGTGGGCCTATGTGACGGTCACCCTTCTCTGCAGGCCCATATGTCTTCCCTGCACAGTGGAGGCCAATCTGGCTCTACGAAAGCCCCAAGGCAGTACCTGTCGGGACCACGGTGAGTGCTGGGATTCTGGGTGCATGATGAGCCAGAGTCAGGGCTTGGGGTGCAGGAAGTCTGGATGCCTCGTGAAAGGATTCACAGCCATAGGCCCTTTCCCTGGCTGCAGAGAAGTACCTACTGAGCCAACAGAGTGTGCCTGCACATTTTGTCGCCTTGAATGGGAACCAGCTGAACGTTCACCTCAAGACAGGCACAGAGGTGAGTCTCATATCTGCAGATGTTGGAGCTGTCCCCTCCCCAGCCTCCCACTTGCCACAGCAACTGCCAGAGGTCTCTTCCCCTCTCAAGCTCAGGTTGCCTTCTCCTTCTGCCTAAGCCACTCCTCTCAGCTTGGCTGCTCTGGCAGGTGTGCTGCGGGTTGCTCACCTCATCCTTCTCCTCCCACTTCACCCCTCCAGCAGTGGAATAACTGCATCCGAGCCGTGTCTGAAGACAAGATCAGGTTCCCCAACTTGACAGACATCAGCGAGGTGGTGACAGAGCAGTTCCTGTGCAGTGGTACTGAGCAGGACGACAACCCCTGCAAGGGTAGGCACCCCCTCCCTGCTCCCCCAAGCCTGTGTTCCCATCTCCTGGTGACTGGCATGTGGGTGCTGCTGCCCTACATGACACTGTCCCTTGTCCTCTGCTGGCAGGAGAGTCTGGGGGAGCCATTTTCCTTGAGCGGAGATTCAGGTTTTTTCAGGTGAGCTGAGAGCAGGTAGGATTGGGGTGACCAGCTGTCTGTTAAGAGGCTAAGGATGGTGGGGCTTTGGAAGGACCTGGGCCCTCACCTTGTTCTCTCCTTCCCCCCAGGTGGGCTTGGTGAGCTGGGGGCTTTACAACCCCTGTGTCACCAGCAAAAACACACGTAAGAGAGCACCCTATGGCAAGAGCCCGCCCCCCCGAGACTTCCATATTAACCTCTTCCGCCTGCAGCCCTGGCTGAGAGAGCACCTCCAAGGTGTCCTAAACTTTCTACCGCTCTGACCTGTGGTTTCCTGCCAGGATCAGTCATTTGTCCCTGCTCTTGCCTGACCACCCGCCCTCAGACGCTATGGCTTGTGTTTCTTGCTGCTAGCTCAGTAAACCTGGTCTCTGGGAGCCCTGAGGCAGCTCCCACAGGCTGGGCAACCAGGAGCCTGGTACTGCTGCTGCTGTTCCCACCTCTGCTCAGATCTCTGCCCCATGTTCACGTGACTCCTTCCAAGGGGTTTTCCAGTTATGAAATTAATAAAAATCTAGAATTTCCACATCTGTGTGTGCCTCTGCCAGGGACTGGGGGCAGGGAGGAGCCAGAGGCTGAGATGATTCCAGGAAGTGCGGTAGGTCAGAGACCCTGCTGGACAAACAGTAATTGGACTCTGCTCTACAACTCATGGTCAACAGGGGCACAAGCCGGGGCCTTACTTCTGGTCCTTAAGGGGGAAATCTGGGGGAGATCTGGAGGTTGGGAGCCCGCCTGGAAGAGGAGAGTCCCACACCTGGAGCAGCCAGCGGTTGGGCTTCTACAGTTTCTGTAGAAGCCCTCCCACCTGCAGGTTCCGGGAAAATGCTGTGTGAGGGACAGGCAGGACACGCTGCAGGTGCCAGAACACAGATTGCATAAAAGGCTTGGCGGAGGGGGTTGCTGCGGAAGGCAGTGTAACCAGGCGTAAGTGTGGAGTTTCTGTTAGGACACTGAGTTCAGCTGACAGTCAGCCCAGAGAGGCCACTGTGACCCAGCCCTAGCTGCTCGTCATGGGGAGCACTCCTGGCCCCCGACTCTGCCACCTTGTACCCTTGTTCTTGAGGCTCTTGGCTGGAGGTAAGTGAAGGTCATTGTCCCTCTCCTGCTACCCCTATCCCCCCGTCCCTCCTTGGCCCTGGGAAGGGGAGAGGATTCACGAGCCTCTCTCTGCAGGTGTGGTCACGACTCCCTTGCCTGAGCACCAGCCTCAGCGCTCCTGCTCTCTGGAAGGGGTGGAGATCAAAGGCGGCTCCTTCCAGCTTCTGCGGGGGGGCGAGGCCCTGGAGTACATTTGTCCCTCTGGCTTCTACCCGTACCCAGTACAGACGCGCATCTGCAGATCCACGGGGTCCTGGAGCCCCCTTAGGACCCAAGACCAAAGGATGGTTGCCAAGGCCGAGTGCAGAGGTTTGAGGGCAGTGGGCATGGGCAGGGTCCAGGGAAATGACAAAACAGGTGGTGGCCAAAGTCAGAATGAGATTTGGTGGGCTGACAAAGTGGGGTGGAAAGGAGTAGGAGCAGTAGGGTCCAGGGGCAGAGTGGGGTGGGGAGGGAGGAGGGACAAAGGAGGGAGCTCATCTCAGCAAGCACTCACCCTGCGTCAGGAAGCCTTTGCCAACCCTCAGAGGCTGGGAGGGAGGAGCCGGGGACCCCACAGGTGCAGGGGTCCTTCCACACTGCTCCCGGGGACAAGGAAGGTGCTATTTCTAAGTGACAAGGCCTCCCATACCAGGAGATACTTGAAACACATCTCTTCTCTCTGGGTGACTTCTGATGGTTCCTTTCCCCAAAGCAATTCGCTGCCCCAGACCTCAGGACTTTGAGAATGGCGAGTTCCAGCCCCGGTCCCCCTACTACAACGTGAATGACGAGATCTCTTTCCATTGCTACGACGGTTACACTCTCCGTGGCTCTGCCAATCGTACCTGCCAGTCCAATGGCCGGTGGGATGGGCAGACGGCCGTCTGCGATGATGGAGGTGAGGCGCTTCCTGGCCCCTGCGTGTGTAACCCTCTCCTGATGGTTTCAGCTGAGGAATGCGTACGATCACTCTGTCTTCCCTCTGGGCCTCAAGCTTAGTCTCCCATCGCCATGTCTCTTGCCTCTGCAGCGGGGTACTGTCCAAACCCAGGCATCCCAATTGGCATGAGGAAGGTGGGCATCCAGTATCGCCTAGAAGACACTGTCACCTACCACTGCAGCCAGAGCTTCACCTTGCGTGGCTCCCAACAACGAACATGTCAGGAAGGAGGCTCTTGGAGTGGGACAGAGCCTTCCTGCCAAGGTGACCCTTGACCTGTGCCCCAATCACAGCCTGCTCGCCCCTCCTGTCACTCCCACATCATGGTCCTATCTTCTCTGCCTCCCAGAACTTCTCTCACTTCTTCCAAACTTCCCTATGAAATGCACTCCTGTGCCCTTCCCTTCCTGCCAAGTCACCATTCCTGGTCTTCCTGGCCACTGGTGCCTGGCCCTTCCAGACAGGTGACCTGATGGCTCCTCTCTCACAGGCTCCTTCATGTACGACACCCCTCAGGAGGTGGCAGAAGCCTTCCTTTCTTCCCTGACAGAGACTCTGGAAGGAGTTGATGCTGAGGATGGGCACAGCCCAGGTTTGAGGGCAGAGAAGGGAGGCAGGGTGGGGAACTGGGAGAGGAAGGAGGGAATGAAATTGGGCAGGCTGCAACTGGGGTCTCCTTGATGCACCCCAGGAGAACTGCAAAAGCGCAAGATTGTCCTGGACCCTGCTGGCTCCCTGAACATCTACCTGGTGCTGGACGGCTCAGAGAGCATCGGGAAGAGCAACTTCACAGGGGCCAAGAAATGTCTCGCCAACCTGATTGAGAAGGTGAGATCCTCCTCCCTGTGAGAGTAGGGTCTCTAAATGGTCCTTCCTGCCCTCTCCCAGCCACTCTGAACCACAGGGTCCCAGAAACCCTCCAGGGTCTGTTCTGTCTTCCTTTCCATTGACTTTCTTGGCTTTCAACAGACTCCTCTGTGAACCTCAGCCCTTGAGCCACACTATGACCTCTTTTGTCCCAGCTAAGCTCTCCCCAGCAGGGTTTTCTAGTTTCAGCATCATGGTCCCTTGTTCCTCTCACCCACAGGTGGCGAGTTATGGGGTGAAGCCAAGATACGGCTTAGTGACATATGCCACAAATCCCAATGTTTTGGTTAGAGTGTCAGACGCAAAGAGTAGCGATGCAGACTGGATCATACAGCAGCTTGATAAAATCAGCTATGACGGTGAGCAGTCTAGGAAGGGGATTGCGAAAGATTCACTTTGGGGCAGGGAAGGAGTTCTGGGGGGTGTTGAACCAAGAGGGTAATGAGACCACGTGGAAGGGTCAGGGAAGACAGCAGGGCCGACAGGCAAGGGGGGCCTGTCAGAGGCTAGGAAGGCCATTGTGTGGTTAAAGGGAAGTCAATGGGATGACAAGTAAAAAAAAAAAAAAAAGACATGGATTCGCAGGTGCTGCTGACCCCCAAGGATGCTGTGAAGCGCAGCTAAGTGGATGGCCTCTTCCCTCTCCACAGACCACAAGCTGAAGGCAGGAACTAACACCAAGAGGGCCCTCATAGAGGTGTACAACATGATGAGCTGGCCAGGAGAAACACCCCCTGAAGGATGGAACCGCACTCGCCATGTCATCATTCTCATGACTGATGGTCAGAAGGCATTCCGTCCTGCCCCAGGCTCCCAGGCCATCCGGAAAACTGGGCTTCTGCCTGGGACCCGAACACTACTCAGCTGGCTTTCCAGCTCTCCTGCAGTCCTTCTCCAGTGTCCTCTTGTCACCAGTCTCCTCAGTCAAGCATGTCACTGTTGCCGGTCTTCATCCCTCCAGACCCTCTCCCCTCACTTTCCTCACAAGTCCCCATCTCTTCTGCAGGTTTGCACAACATGGGTGGGGACCCAGTTCCTGTCATCGACCAGATCCGGGATTTGCTGGACATTGGCAGGAATCGCAAAAACCCGAGAGAGGACTACCTGGGTGAGCAGGCTGTCCAACACCCCTCTGTACCTTACTTTCTCAGGGCAAAGACCCTCACTCTTAGTCTCTCTCCCTCAGATGTCTACGTGTTCGGGGTGGGGCCTCTGGTGGAGGCAGCGAACATCAACGCTTTGGCTTCCAAGAAGGACAATGAGCAACATGTGTTCAGAGTCAAGGACATGGAAAACTTGGAGGATGTTTTCTATCAGATGATTGGTAGGAAGTTCCAGCAGGCCATACAGACTTGGCAGTCAGCTCTCCCTAGACCCCACGGGTCACGCATTCTTCCTTTACCACTAGTGGAGACCAGGCCTTTCCCGTTGCTCTTCTGTCACTGTTATTTCTTATCACTATTCTACTTTCCTGTCCTAGCAACAGAGCTCTGGGCAACGTTACCTTCTCCTGTAGTCCTTCTTTCTACAGAAGCCAGGAAAGGCCCAGGCATGGCAAGCTAGCAAGAGTTGGGCCTGAAAATAATAGCCAGATCTCTGATGGTCCCCCCTTCAAAAGGGCCGCGACATTTGGAAATGAAGTAGCAACTTATTCTTTTTTGCCAGATGAAACCAAGTCCCTGGGGCTCTGTGGCATGGTTTGGGAGCACAGGAAGGGCACTGACTACCACAAGCAGCCATGGCATGCCAAGATCTCCATCACTGTAAGCACAGCATCTTCCTTGTGGGGACTTGAGGCAGGGTGAAAGTGGGGCAGAATGTTCACATGACATTGAGGCTTGTGGAAGTTGAACCTTCTCCCTCAACTGTTTCGTTCCCAGCGCCCTCAGAAGGGACATGAGACCTGCATGGGGGCTGTGGTGTCTGAGTACTTTGTGCTGACGGCTGCACACTGTTTCACGGTGGACGACCTGGCACATTCTATCAAAATCAGCATTGGTAAGCATCCAAGTGGCTTCTGAGCTCCAGCTACACCCTCCAGGCAGCCTCCTCATCCACTTATGCCCTACAACCTCCAGTTCTTAGAACAGTCAGGAATGCGGAAGACAATGCTAAGGATAACATCAGGCCAGGGGCATGATGCTGCCACAAAGTACCTGCTCTCTTCCTATCTTAGGAGGGGAGAGGCGGGACCTGGAGGTAGAAGAAGTTCTAGTTCACCCCAAGTACAACATCAATGGGAAAAAGGCAGAAGGAATCCCCGAGTTTTATGACTACGATGTGGCCCTGGTGAAGCTCAAGACCAAGCTGACCTACAGCCAGACTCTGAGGTGAGAGGTCCTGGCTCCCTGAGGAGACAAGGCTGTGAAGGGCTGTCAGCGCTTGCGCAGCTGCCTGTTCACACTTCCTGACTTTGCTCCCTGTCAACAGGCCCATTTGCCTCCCTTGCACAGAGGGAGCCACTCGAGCCTTGCGGCTTCCTCAGTCAGCTACTTGTCAACAACACAGTAAGACATGGCCAGGGAGAGAATGGGGATGAGATGCTGAGGGTCAAGTGGGGGCATGAGAGGGAGCTGCAGATGATGCTCAGCCTACCAGTAGGCTCACAGGAAGTGTGCTGTCTGATCTGAGTGAGA